GAGCCAGTTCATTGACTGACGCTTCCTGAGCGGTTATTTCAACTGCTTTTGAGTTTTACATAATTCACACCGAGAAGAAGCATTACATCTTGAGGAAAAGTGACCAAGAGGCCCTGGAAACTGACTTCCTGGAATGAGAGGGAAACTCCACCGAACTCCCGGTACAGGCCCCGTAACCTGCCGGTGCCGCCCCTTCTCGAAATCAGCGTCGCTCTGAAGTGTCACGTCAGTGAAAGAAAGCACTAGTGAGGCTGGACATGTCCGTATCTGCGACTGTCCTCTAACGAGCTGCCTGCCGCTTTAGTCCGTCTTTCCCATCTTCCTGTTCCACTGATTTTTTCTACCGTTTTCCTACTTTCAATTCCATTGATTTCTGCTCTTTTTGTTTTCTGCATCCCACTTTCTCTGGGCATATCTAACTCTTCCGTTTTACTCTCTTGAGTTAGACCTTAGATTACCTGCTAGATCCCTTTCTAGCCTAAGAGCACGCAGCTCTCTGCAGCTCCTCTCAGCACTGCCTGGAGACACCACGTATTTTGACAGGTCCAGGATTTGATTCTGAAGGAGAGAAACAGACTCATTCCCACGAGCAGGGTCCTAGAGGAGTGGGCGCTCAGGTGGGGAGTTACCTCCCAGGCGCTGAGGGAATCCCCTTCCTCCAACTTCCCCTCTCCTCTGCCCCCCTCACTCCGGCCTCTCAGCTGTTTCCATTTCTTCCCTTTTTAATTGCCTTTTTATATATTTTGTTTATAAGTCTCTAGTATAAAACTGAATATGCTACTTTGTTGATCACTTACTGTGCATAACAGTTCATTTTCCTTTTTGTTCCTTGGAAAACTGGTGAACTGAATGTTAATCCCTTCACTCTGAATGAAAGTGAGTTACTGCAGATAAACCAGCTAACACATGGTTTCTGTCACCTCCACATGCTCGACCCCTGTCTTGCTGATTCTTGCAAGTGAGGTGTTGACATGGGTAAGAGGATAGCAGGGAGCTGTGAATAAGGGGATGGTGAGGATGGGGGACATGGACACAGGTGGGGTGTGGATGCGACGTGGTGACCAAGGTAAGACAGGGTAAGTGGACACCTGGTTACCACAGTACCCCACTGTTACACTCCTGGGCACATATTATGGAGAAAATAATGTCAATCTCAAAAAGTTACATGTTGTTTGGTTCCATTTCTAGAGCATTCTTGAAGTGATGGACTAACAGAAAATGGGGAACAGATGAGGGGCTGCCAGGGTTTGGGGGGGAATGGAGGAAGGTGGCTGGGGTCCTAAAGCAGAGCAGGAGGTATCCTGCACCTTGACTGCACTGGTGTCACACAATTCTACACATGTTAAATTACATGGAGACACACACACACACACAAACACATACACACTCTTTAAAATGAGTACATCTAAATGGGTGAAATCTGAAATCTGAATGAGGTCAAGGGATTGTGTCCAAGCTAACTTCCTGGCTGTGCCAGCACACTGCAGTCTGTGAGATGTTATCACCAGGGTGACCAGATGAGGGGCACCTGAGATCTCTCCAGACTGTTTTTTACAGCTGCGTGTGAACACACCATGATCTCAAAACAAACCTGTAAAGACTGCGTCAGCGAGCGTGCACACGTGTGTCTCCCCTGAGGACAGCCCTGGCAGCGACATCGTCCAGTATCATTGGGGTGCTCCCTCTTCAGCTCCCCCAGATTATTCTCTTGAGTGTTTGTTCCCATTCACACCCCTACTTGCAATATTAGTCCTCATTTCTCTGTCTTCTCCAATACTTGGTACAGTCACAATTAAAAAATTTTACCAGTATGATGACCAGGACAAAGTATCTTATTGCTGTTTTAATTTTTAATCCCCTCACTACCAATAGGTTCAAGTTCTTTTCATATTTTATGAGTCCAGCTGGGTTTTATCTCTAAACTACACAGCCTGTTCTGGCTCGCATTTATTAATAACTCCTGGGTGGCTTGCTTCATTTTACTGAATTTTAGAGCTCTGGATACATTCCAGATACCAACCTCACAGGAGCCTGTTTCTCCTCATCCTTCAGACATCCACCTGTTTTTTATAACAGGGCCCCAGAACAACCCAGCCTTGTTTATGAAGCCGAGAACAAAAGAATATTCAGATCCATGTTTTGTCATTTTAACAGTTAAGGAGTCCTGGAAATCTCTAAAAGCTTCGGAATATGCACCCGTAGTTATCACCGGGCACGATGACAGGGAGACTCCACCCGTGGGCAGCAGCTTCAGCCCCTGCCTGAGCCTTCAGCTGCCCTTCTGGTCAGCCTTCTATGGATGTCCGGCTTGCCTCAGTAAATCCTGATTTGTATCTCTTGCTGGTTTTGTTTCTCTGAGTGAAGCTGCACACTACAGATTTTTACAGAGGTTTAAAAGCTGCTCAGCAGAATGTTCCAGCTGTTTATCTGGTACTTATGCCTGGCAGGAGCCAGGGTCTCTGCCAGGTCTGCTCTTCCATGAAGCACGGCCCGGGGGCTTCTCCCAGTGGGCTCCCCTGGGCCAGCAGGAGCATGTTAATGACTGCCCAATGACTATTTATTTAGACTTACACAAAGAGTATTAGACTATAGTCTTTTCTTCTTTACTGACAACTAAAATATAAGAAAAGGATGATAAAAAGAAAGATGTTGGGGGCGGCGCCTGTGGCTCAAAGGAGTAGGGCGCCGGCCTCATATGCTGGAGGTGGCAGGGTCAAACCCAGCCCTGGCCAAAAACTGCAAAAAAAACAAAAACAAAAACAAAAACCCAAAAACAAAGAAACAAACAAAAAACCAAGAAAAGAAAGCTGTTGGTGCCCTTATGGTCACACCATTCTGAAAAGGAAGTGCATTCTGCGGGCATCTCCCTCAGACTCCAGCTACGGCATCTCACTCATTAACGGTGGAATTCAAGATGAAAGAGAAGTGGAGGGCGCCTTGCAAGGTGCCCTGTTCACCACAGCCAGGCCAGGCACTGATCCAGACCTGGGGGCAGACTCCTGCCTCTTTCTAATTGTGCGCCCTTGGGCTAACTAACCTCTCTGTGCCTTGTTCCTCATCAGTAAAAAACGAGGCTATTAATAGGACAGTGACATCACAGGAGGGCATCCCAGGCAGCTATGAGCACTCCACTAGTGACAAATGGCTCTCAGAAGACCGCTGGCAATTTGCAAGAGGTCAATGACTGCTCCCTGGTATAGGCTCAGGGAAGCTTCCCTCTCAAGTGCCAGGTTTTTAACGAACGTGGGAGAAACTGAAAGTCAAACAAAATAACCTTCAATTAATATTTAAAAGCCAGGCAGAAATAGCGAAATCACAAGCAAAGTTGGTCTCTGTTTGTCAGCTTTCAGCAGACATCAGAACCAACGCAGGCAGCCACAGCTGCCGGTGCCGGGACTAGGAACACTGGTGTTCAGAATCACGGGGGAGCAGCCAGCTCTGAAATAGGAATCGCATCTCGTCCTCATCTTTCAGCAGAATTGTGGTTGTTCAGAAGGATTTTCAAAGTGGATTTGAATCAAATAGCTTTTGTTCAACCCTGAGTTAACAGCAGTGGCCATTTCAAAGCAGTCAGATCCTGGGGAGTTACTGCCCCAACATTCACAATAATCTGGGTTCTTTCCCCTCAAGTTTCTGTTTACTTCACTTAAGAAAAAACAATCGCCGCTGTGCACTTTCTGTTAGGGGGTAGAAACAGCCCCTGCTAGGCTGCGGGTCCTTACAGGCCCTTGACTTACTGAAGGCCTCTCTTCCCAGGTCAGTAAAGGCCCCACCTCACGGGAGTGGCCCGCAGGAAGCTCTTGTGCAGGGTTAAGGGGCTTCAGGATGGCCCTGACGGGTCAGTGATGGTCCCTGAGGTTTCTTCCTGGGCTAGGCAGACAGTCTCCAAGGCAGGCAGTCTGAGATGGGATGCCCCTGAGTGTCCTTCCTCTGCAAACCTCTATTTCTAGTCAGGGGTCCTCTGGCCGGACAGGCTGAGGTCTCCCTTGAACGATGTCTACCGTCCTTCCAGCACATTCCAGCCCCCCAGCCCCTGTCACTGGCGCAGATAAACAAACACATACGGTTGATTTTCACACTGTTACGATTAGAAAACAAGGAACCGGATGCCTGCTTCTTACTAGGGTCCCCAAAGAAACTCGAAGCTTTCCCCCCACACACTCCACCTTCCAAAATAGGGGCTAAAGTGATGCCAAAAGGAAGACCGTGCTGCCGGGGAACCAAGAGCACCTGGGGTAACCGCGCAAATAGCAATCACACAAGTGCCAGGGCCCAGGCCTGGGAGCATGCCTAGGGGACGCCGGTGGGGCAGGCGCATGGCCGCAGGTGGGCTCAGGTGGGGCGAGAGCGCAGCAGGGGAACCAGAGACCGGCCCTGGAAAGGCGGAAGCGGGATCTAGACCTTTGTCGCCGCCCTCGTTGCTCAAAGGGAAACCGCGCTTCACCCTGGGGGGAGGGGCTGGCCGCGATCGCCCTCTGGGCCCCAGGTGTGTAACTCGGAGGTTCTTTAAGCCTTAGATCCCCCACCTTGCCGGCCCCTCGGCTCCCACCAGCAGTCTCCACAGAGCGGAGAGCGGCCTCTGTTGACCGCTGTCACCTCCCACCTCACAACTTCCCCCACGGCCCGGAGCTGTTTGAGTGACCCAGGGCCGCCAGGCCTGTATGGAGACCACCCTTGGAAACCTCGGGCTCCAGTCCCCACCGAGGTCTACTCCCGTCTACACCCGCGCCCACCTTCTCGCGGGTAGGAGCCGAGTGAGAGACCAGGATGTCAGGTTTGGGAGGACACTGGGCTGCCACCTGCCCGGCCACCTGCGCCTCTGCCCAGGTGAGCTCCGCGCGCCCTGGGCCGGGAAAGGGACCTGGAGTCCAGCTGCCAGGACCGCACCTGCACCCCGCGCCGCCCGGAGCCCTCTCGCCCAGGTCTCCTGTCCCCGCTCGGAGGGGCGCGGAGACAAAGGCGCCAGAGCCGCCCCGCCCGTCCCCGGGACGATCACCCACCGGCGCTGTGCTCGTTGCTCCGAGATCGAGGGGCGCCGCGGGGTCCCAGGCTGTGCTCTCCACGCCGGGGCCCGGGGCTGGTCCTGGTGCCGGGGAGCGGGCAGCACAGGGGCCCCGGGCCACCGGCGCCGCCTTCCGGGGTCGGGACTGGGGCCGCCAGGGCCGGAGGCTCGTCCTCGCTGGCGCGCGGCGGTGACTGACGGCGGCTGCTCTGAGGGACGGGCGCGCACCCTGCTTCCCCGCCCCGCCCCGGGCCGCGCCGGTCAGGTACACGCCCGGGCTGCAGCCGTCCCCCAGCCTGGCGCCCCCACCCGCCACAGGAGCGCGAGGACCGCGACGGCGCAGCCCACGCGGAACTCGGAGGCCCGCGGAGACCCGCGCTGGGTTAGCCCTCGGGAGGCGGGGCGGGAGCGTCTCTGCAGCTGGGACCTACTGCGTGCTGCTTGTGACCCAGCTGGGGCGAGCGAGCAGGCGTCTCCTCTAGGCGCAGCTTGAGCGACAGAGACCCATGTGCGCGACGGGTCCAGGTCCACACCGTCCGTGCCGCCGAGTTCAGTGCCTGTCCTCGCCCCCTCTGGCTGTCCTCGCTTTCAGAAAGCCGGCTGCTGAGCTTGGCACAGGCCAGCGTCTGGGTTCGGAAGATCAAACTCCAGGCCAGTCCCTACTGAGGTTCCCGGGTCTCTCTCTTATTTTTTAGAGACAGAGTCTCATTTTCTTGCCCTTGGTAGAGTGCTGTGGGGTCACAGCTCTCAGCAACCTCCAATTCCTGTAGGCGAGTCTCCTGCCTCAGCCTCCCGAGCAGCCAGGACTACAGGCGTCCACCGCAATGCCCGGCTATGTTTTGTTCCAGTTTGGCAGGGCTGGGTTTGAACCCACCACCCTTGGTATATGGTGAGGGCGCCCTACTCACTGGGCCACAGACGCCGCCCCCGGCTCTCTTCGTAGACCTGGAGTGGGGTCCCGAGCGCACCCCTGCTAGTGAAGGAGGCCGGGACGGAGGCATGCGCGTAAAAACCCCGGCACTGCGCAGTGGGGCAGACGCAGCTGGCCACGCCACAGCACCCTCCCGATCATACACGGATCACGCACCCAGTCCGTGGTAGAGGATCTGGGTTCTGGGCCACCTCCTGCTGTGGGAAGAGTAGGACGTTCTGGAGAGACACAGAAGGGCCCTGATCTTTCTGACCTATATCTCCCATCGGGAATACAGTGTGGGCCCACACCGTGTTTACTGAGGACCGGGAGGACACCATGGGCTCCTGTCCCTTGGGCCATCTGCAGTGTGCCTTTCAGCCTGCCCACTCTAACTGGGCCCACAAAGACCCCAGGGTTAGCAACTGAGTTCAAGTTCTGGCAGTTCAAAGAGAAATATTTCTGCAGCAATAGAAACACACTTGATCTAGTCTTTTCCTCAGAAAAGACTATTGGCAACAGAGCGTCTGGGGGTTCTGGGGACTTTAGGTTGCAGGTGAGGATGTGTAGGTAAAGGGGTGCCCACTGCCAAGGGTAAAGTTTATTTATTCTGCAATTTTCCCTGGCTTCACGCCAACCATAAGTAAAGGATAAACAGGACACATATGAAGGAGCTGGACAAATGCCCAGGTTGCACCGGCAGTGACCCCCAACGAGGGTGCTCCAGGTCCCCAGGCTCAAGTCACTCTTTATTAAGGCCCAAGCACTGGGAAGCTGGAACATGGCTTCCCATTCAAGCTCCCAGTTTAGCATCAGAAACAGGATCTTCTCCCCTACAATATCTCCTTGCTTCCTCTCAGGGTGACTTCACACGGAGCAGATACCTGCCTGTCCTGCCAAGGCCACTCACAGCTGGGCTTTTGGGAATCTCACCAGCCACGCTGAAAACAGTAGCCTGTGCCCTTCTGTTCTACTTCTGTCCGATTTTTAGTGGTTTACTGAGATTTACAGCTGCCAGGAGTCACCTCCATAAATGTCAGGCTGGGCAGACATTCAGAGTCTTCCTGAAGTCTTTACAGCACTGTACGTGTTTTGTTTGGGATAGAATGCCCATGCAGATTGGCAGCCAGTTCTAAAAGTTCGTGGATACCGAGAAAACCTGACCAACATTTAAAAGGTCACATGTTCTTAAGGACAGTCCAGGTGAGATGCTCCCAGCCACCAGCATCAACCACCAGATAGAGTGGGAGCAAACACCAGAGGAGACCACCCTCTGCCACCCTCAGCCTGAGTCTTCCCAGCTGCGTTCCAGACAGCGTGGAGCAGAGCTGAGCCAAACACTGCTTCCAAATACTGGCCCGCAGAATTCAGGAGCAAAATTAAATGGCAGCTGCTTCAATTCACTACGTTTGGGATAGTTATGCATCAAGGCTTCTGGAAGAGTTGGTTAGAATGACAAGTGGAAGGACAGAATTGGGGAAATCTTGAGGGTATAGACGCCACTGCCTACCCGATAGTTACTATACCCCTTGTAAATAACCAGAGACTCCATTTCCAGAAAAGAAAACATTTTATTAACTGATGGTCTGATTAGTCAGACACCTCAATCATTCATTCACTACTTATTCACGATTATTGATTGGCACGAGTGCTCACTACATTGCCTCAGTTCATGTGTGAAAATTACCACTGTCCTTGTTTTAACAAAAAGAACAGGGTTAGGGTTACCCTGAAAATGGGTAATTTATGAAGAAAAGAAGCATAATTCTTAGAATTATAACAGAAGCCAGGAAGTTGCAGATCCAGGGGCTAAGTCTGGTGAGAGACTTCTTGCTGGTGGGAATCTAAGGATTCCTGGGGCAGCGCAGGGCATCACAGGGCAAGGGGACAATTGAGCTAATGGTCTCTGTCCCCTTCGCATAAAGCTACCAGCTCACCTTCCACGATAATGCACTAATGACCCAATCATGTCCTAAAGGCCTCACCTCTCAACACCGACACATTGGAGATTAGTTTCAGCAGGAGTTTTGCTGGGGACACTCAAACCACTGGGTTATCCACGTGGAGGCTGGGTGCCTGCATGTTAAGTTCAGGGGAAATGGCCTTTAAAGATGGGATCAACAAAAGTGAGTTGAAACAGTGATGAACTCTTCCAGGAGGGAAGATTATTTCCTCTACCTTCGTGTTTGAAAGCTTAAACTTAGCAACACTAACCCTTTTCACCATCTTCTTTGCCTGTGGTACAAGGGGGCTTCCAAGTTCTATGGGGCCTGAAACTTACATGATTAGCCTGCTGCCTTTAATGAACAGAATACAAACATATGAATTCCTAGTTAGATATGAGGCACTGGAAGGGAGTTAGTGGGTATGTGTGGCTGTCATCTCGGGAACCTGCCTCTGAGTAGCTCGATGGTCTGACAAGTAAAAACACTAACTAAAAATTAGGGAGCCACATAATTTGGCTGTGTTGGTTTCTCCCAGACACATATTTATAAGTCTCTCTTAGACAAAGTGTGTAATATTTCTGTGACTTTGTTTATCCAAAGTCCAAGTGCAATAGGATTAGGTGAATTATGGGACCTCTTGCAGTATCTGGTACTAAAAGGTACAAAGGATAGATGCCAGAAAGTTGCTCAATTACTCTGTGTACTTGGGTCTGGGATTGTACGTTTAACTGTTCTTACGGCAGCCAAAAACGTAAACTTGAGATTCACTCTGGGTAGGAAAATAGAATTTGCTTCAAGATATATACCTCAGGTTAATAAAGTCTATTAACACACAGCTTCACTGAGCACCAACCATGTCGTACAATTCTCTCTGTGGTAACATCACGTATGGTCAGGCTTACAGGAAGAAAAGCTGCCCTGGACTTGATCTTTTTTTTTTTTTTTTTTTTGAGAAGGAGCCTCAAGCTATCCCCCTGGGTAGAGTGCCATGGCATCACGCTCACAGCACCCTCCAACTCCTGGGCTCAAGCGAGTCTGCTGCCTCAGCCTCCCAAGTAGCTGGGACTACAGGCATCCGCCACAACACCCGGCCATTTTTGGGTTGTAGCTGTCATTGTTGTTTGGCGGGCCTGGGCTGGGGATTCGAACCCGCCACCTTAGGTGTACGTGGCGCCTTAGCCGCTTGAGCCACAGGCGCTGAGCCTGGACTTGATCTTTAATGTCAGGTTTCCCGGGACACAGTATCCCAGGTCTGACATTAAGACTTGCCAAGGAGCGATGTCCAACAGGCAGGAAGGAGGGCTGTCTTTCTGCCCCTACCTCTCAGCCTTCTCCGAGCCTGAAGGGCCTCACAGGCCACCCAGGGCTCCAGCCTCCACCCTGGGAACCACCCCAGACTCTTTGTGTTCCCACATCTCTAACTTGGCAGCAGGTCTTGCCACTCTGCCCCCAATTTCCTCCTTCTCTGCCTCTTTGTCATGCCCCTGTGTGGCTCTGCAGGCCCCTGCGGTGGCTGTCTTGGTCCCCACCATGGACGTGTGGATGTATTAGTTGTAAATCAATCAAGCCACCTCCCTTGCTGGAAGTCCTGAAGTGCCTCTCACAGCCTGTAGACTGAAATTCACACTTTCCCCTGCTCAACTCCCGCCTCTGATGCCCCGTCCTCTCTCTACATCTCACAGTTGTCTCACCCCTTTCTGCTTTGCCCTTTGGGGTGAGCAACACACCCTCTCTGTGAGACCATTGCCCTCCATGAGTCTCCACAGTCACCCATTTTCCAATCATTTGGGTTGCCACTTAGAAATCCCTGCTTTTTTAAACAGCACGGAGTTTGTATTTTGCAAGACACAAGGGGTCATGGAGATGGATGTTTGTGATGGTCGCACAAAAATGTGAATGTACTTTTGCTACTGAGCTGTACACCTAAAAATAGTTAAGATGATTGATTTTATGATCTATGTATTTTACAATGAAATAAAGTCCCCTCCCTAATGAGACTTTCATGGCTTCCCTCCCACCCTGAAGCAGTGGTCTCTGGACTATTTCCCACGGCTCTATTTGAAGTTTCTGCTCTGTGCTGTGATACCATCTGGGGTGTTCTTGTTTACTGCGTGCATTCCCTTCTTCTCACCCTGCTACATCAGCAAGTGAGCCCCACCCAGGGAGGGATGCTGTCCTTGTCCACTTCTGCCTGATAACACTCTGAGGCAGGCTGGCACACAGTAGGTCTTCAGTAGCATCTGACTGGCAGGTGGGCCCCAGGTGATCCAGTCTGGCTCAGAGAAACACAGTTTGTCAGCTAAAAG